ATCTCACATAAGAGATATATCTTATGTATCTCTTATGTGAGATACATAAGATATATGTATCTCACAGTATGTGCATGTGGTACACATACTGCAGTATGCATGCAGTATGTGGCACATACTGCATGGCACATATAGTTTTGCTTATATGTGCCATGCAGTATCTATTAGTGCACTTCCTTCCTGTTTTTCTATCGTGGACATTCAAAAACGTTCAGAGCGTGCCCTGCTGGTCTTTTGAGATCTTTATTATTCTTAATATAGTAACAGAAATAAATCCCTCCTTCGTTTTGTGTTGCTCCAGCTTCATTCAAAAATAGTTTTCAGCTTTTTCAAAGGTGCTTTTGCTTGATTACTATTTCAAATATGCAGTCGTGTGTTTTGTGGCACCTTCCCAAGGACTCTTCATATTATTTTAATCAATATAATTAAGAGTGCAGATTACAAAGTAAGTCTTTGAAGATACATCTCTTTAGAAAAAACAGCTTTGATTACTTTTAGAAAAGGCAAATAAGAAGGGCTCCATACAACAATTGATATATTATTTATTACCAGCCAAAAGTATACAACGTACTGCCAAAACATTTACACACCTTATCGCATTTTGTTGCACTTAAACGACAACACAGAATAGAACCTACTTTTGAAGTTGAAGGAAATTGATATATGATTTCTAAAATATTTGACAAAAAAAGTTGTGAGGCACCATGGTCAGCTGCAGCTTATTGTTTTAATTGTAACGCAGCTCATTCTGAAATGGGATCAAAATAGGTAGAACTAACCAGGTGAAATGCCATTAAGTGATTTTGTGCAAAAAATTTTAAGGAGCATGTTTTGTAAAGCCCACAGACCTATTCTAACTTGTTTAAGGAAGCTTAATAGGTTCCCTTTAAAAATCTATTTCTTTGAAAAAGATATTGATAGGGTGACATGCAGGCTGAGAAAATACATTTGCAGAGTGTTTGAATCTGTGGCTGACAGGGTGCCAAGGGTCTGAGATGGTGTGCATAAAAACTTTGGGTGGAAAAAAAAAAAGAAAAAAAAAACGCTCACACAGTTTCATGCATCCATCACTTGTGTGAACAGCTCGGGTTTTTCTCACCTGAGGATCGATTGGAGTCTTTCAGTGTGTGAATCAAAGGTCTCCATCTTCTGCTCAAATACACTCAAACCTGGTAGAGGAGCCAAAAACAATTTTTTACACAACTGGAAAACACTCTATTCGGGCCTCTGACCTTCGCGTGTCGAGTTAAAATCCCAGAGCGTCAAAACCATCACTCTTTCAAACATGCAGCTGTCATGGAGATCTGACTTGTTGAAGCTTCAGTTCCCCCTCTTGTTTCTGATGGAGCAAACAAAATCAGTTTTCACTTTTCCTCACTTTCCCCTCTTTATCTCTTCACGTACATACATGGCTCGATAGTCGGAATAAAACAGTTTGGGGTAAAACTGTGAAGTATGAATATGTACAATAGGGTTTTATGCACATGTAATGAGCTTATTTGTTTTAAGTGCATTTCTGACTTTTATCCTCAGGACAAAATAATCCAACTAATGTTTCAAAACACACAAAAATGTCATATTTGAACATTTTTTATATAGTGATGACTGATGCACCAGTAGACAAGATCTGTTGGTTATGAGTTAAGATTCAAAGTCTGTAAATATTTAAATAAAAACACTTTTCTAAATGTTTCTATTAGGTCACATGAAACCTTTCAAAGCACTTCATTTTTAACGGTATATTACATTCTGCTGGATTTTACTGTAACGTCAGGAGAATTAAGACACAGTATAAGTAATTAATGTAATACTCCGCATTAATCCTCTAAGAACAAATCCTGCAGAGAAGATTATTTCTTTCTGTAATTTGGATTAAGATTTCCCATATTTATTTATTTTTTTCCTCACAGAGGGATTCCTGGGAAGAAATGCGGCACAATCATCCTGACGGCAGAAGAACTCAGCAACTGTCGAGTGAGTAAATTGTGATAATCTCCCAAATATACACGTTAACAAGAAAATATTGCTTGTACGTGTACGTCTCCTAACGTCGGGACAAGAAACGGCAACACCGGCTTTTTCCTGTCTAAGTCATACAGCAGCTCTTTCCTCACTCACCATGCAGTGACCTGCTGTGTAATGAAATTGTGCAGAAACATCACCCAGAGCCCCCTGTCAACCTTACATGTGTGCCGTTTTCTCAGGTGGGCTCTTGCGAATGCCACACTGAACTCCTCTCACACCAGATCGGGATAGGAAAGTGAGCAAAATCATGCTGATTACACTGAACCAAAAGCAAAATTAAAAATGTAGAGGAGTGAGAAAACTAACGAGCACAACAAAAGGAGAAAGCTGGAACAGAAGGAGCATGTGGACGAGAAAAGGTGGAAAATTCAAACGGGCTTGGAGAGATACAGTAACACGAAAAGGAATTGGCACGGGATCATTTCATGCCAATGTGAACCAGCCAAAAAAAAAGAAAAAAAATGCTTGGCTGATTTTAGTTGGAGGCAGAGCATAGGTTAATTACCAGGAAGAACTGTGTGACCTTGTCCCCTGCTGGCTGCTGGTGTTAATTCTCTGTCTATAGTCACAGCATGGTCAACTGGATGAGTATATGTGCCTGTGGTCCATACACACTTGAATGCAGCTGGATGATAAACACACACATTGATGTGCATCTTTCTCTCTTACAACCTCCTCTCTCTGAGTTGGAGCTTACAAACAGAGCTACATGAGGGCAGAGCCTGAAAACCTTTCTCACCTTACAGATTATAAAATCCCATCTAGGGACAAATGCTGCAAGTTAGCTCACACTGTGATATGGGCATGGGGCTACTGTTTTATTTTGTTTATGTCCTTATCAAGTAAACTTAACGATAATGATTCTTTGAAAGGAATTTGAAATAAGGTGGATGATGGTGTTCATTTGTTTTGCACAGGTTAAGTTTTCAGACTTTACTAAACAAACTTTTAAATTTAGAGTTCAAACATAAAATACTTATTTTTCCATTCATGTTATTTCTATTATCGCATTTTTATTTTTTATTTTTATTTTTTGAAAGAAAGATTTCAAAAATGTATAAATGGCTCATTGGCTTTCTGTTAGCATTCTGTCAGCGCTCGAATTACAGATTATTCACATTTGACTTTTTTTTTATTTCTATTGTTCTCTTTGTTATTTGTATTTCAATTTGGCTGACTTCTCAATAACAGTGCTCTCATTTACACATGATCCTCTCTAAATTGTCAGAAGTAAAAAAAAAAAAAATAAAAAAAAATAATGCTGAAATTCTGATTTTAAAATTAGGACTACTTTTTCATGTTAAAGCTTCTGCTTTAACTTGTCGCAGTTAAAGCAGAGGCAGCAGAAAACTTAATAGAGCACCAAATTTGGAAATGTGGAAAAATAGATTAAAAAAAATAACCTTTAAATTTTCTATGGTTGAAATATAGCAAAGGCAACTAAAACTAAACATGGATAGTTAGCAGAGCAGGCCTGTGGTCTTCACCCTCTCTTATGTTCTTAGATAAAGAGCATTTTACAAGCTAAACTTTACCAAATACTCTCCACTTAAGCAACCATTAAACATGTAGATCTTGGCGGCGAATAATCTCCTGGCAATATCTGAATCAGGAAAAGGTTTTAGCAAACATCTCATAAACATTTCTCTTTACCATCTCTATACTCATGCTAATTATTTACATTTTTATTTAATTGTTAATATTTTCCAGTCCCTCGATCATTTTACCGGAAACAGTTTTCCTCGAATGCTTAATTCCTGGATAGAATATAAACTGTATCTCAAGGTTATGTGAGGTGTTTTTCTGCACTGCCAGCAGATCTGGTGAGGTTAGAGAGGTCAACATCATTTTTGCATTTAGTAGCTCGTGTTATTCTCTATTCTCTAATTTTGTCAGGCTGTTGGAGAGAGTAGGTGTAAGACGATACTTTAGAACAACTTTTTTTAATTTTTTTTTTTTTTTATTATATTTTTTTAGCCTTTTTACTCCTAGGTGAAAAGTAGCAGGAAGCAACTCTTCTTCCTGTGCAAAACGTATTTATGCCCTTAGGTTTTTCATAGTGCTTACATTATATATATTCAACATTTATATTTAAAAGTAAAACATTGGGTGTTAAAAGCCCAACTTGCTCCACGCTCTATAAGATGAGACTCATACTGCTAGTTTTCTGATTTAAAAGTAATTGTGAGCAATGTCACGAGAATTTGATCTGATATATTCAGATGTGTCTGGTGAGAGCACAGTTCTGATTGCAGTAAAGTAGGATTTCTGAACCAGACTTTATGCACCTTTTTTTATTGCTAAATCATTAAAATGAGGAGACACCAGAGTCCACTGAAATTGTATTTAAATGGGATTTGAGGACACATTGTTCTGCACATATTCGTCCCATTAAAACATTATTTAAAGATGTAGTACCTCACATCTATGACTATAAATATGGAACAGGCTAATGTTCCAACACTCTGGAACATTATTTTTCATACATTTGTTTGTCTGCCAATGAGATGAGAACTTTTTACACTGTTTATGAACTGTAGAGGAGAAAACACTGCCAGCTTTCTCATCAGTTTGTTAGCCACTCAAGTGGCAACCAATCGAAATGTTGTGAGATCTGCTGATTGTGAGTAGTAAGTGTTTAAAACATGCAGTACTCATTAATTTATTATGTTGGTGATATTTAGACGTTCTCAGAGAAAATATTGAGAAGCTAAAGTGTTTCCAAGTACTGCGACCCCACACAGAAACAAAAAAATAGAGGAGGAGCAAGAATAGTGAATGAGGAGCTGATATAGGGACACAAGACTGTGTGGGTTTTAGTTTAGTTAAGAAAAGCTGAAGTGGTTCTTTTTAAAACCAGTTGCAAACTGAGGTGTGGCAACAACCCTGCCAAAAGTTTGACATTAGCAGGGCCTTAAGAGGGTTATGCAGAAACTAAAGTCTGCAAACCTCCATGATTTTAAGAAATTTTCAAGAAGTGAGACCTAATTTCTTCACAACAATCTGAGGCTGTGTGATGAAGTCATTCCAAAAACAGCTGATTCAAGTTACATGTAATAAAGACACCAAAACTCGAAAACAGCTTAATTTCTGGAGGACAAACTAATTTCATAAAAATTTAAAATAATTATTTTTAAAAATCTCTATTTGTTGTTGTAGTCAGCATCAATTTATAAAATGAAATCTTCCTTTTTTTTTCTTTTTTTTTTTTACATTATTGTGTTTTATACTCTGATCAAGATTACCGAACAACTGATTTTTAAGTCTTAGTCAGGGTAACCAATAGTTTTGTTTTTAATCTTCACCAGAACGCATATAAGGTTTTTTAAAATGTCTAGTGAGACAAATTCAGAGTAAATAACTCCAGATGTTTATGGTTATTATTCAACCCCTTCACTCTCTCCCTGCCGCTTTTTCTAATTTTGAGCTCATCCATCCTTAAAGATTTGTAGATTCAACAAGCGAAATTAGACTAGGACAAAATGTCTCGGATAATTTTGAATCACCATGTTTCCAAAGCAGAATGACGGTGATAAATGTCAACCATATGGCTTCAATCCAACGAGAATGAGAGGAACGCAGGTGGCAGTGAGAGGGAGATTGTTCTCCCGTCGGATCTGGTTTATGAGCCGAGCGCTAAAACTATCAATTTAAGTTTATCTGAACAATTCTCAAATTCAACATGAAAGTTATTCAAACTTTTTGGATTGTAAATAACAAAATATTTGCTCATGCAAAATAGATCAATTTGTACTTTTTAACCACATGAAAACTAACTCAAAACAAACACTTGGCACAGCTGGTTGTGATTTTATGCAAATATAAACATTTTCTGAGATTTGTGACAAATACATTCGTCACATTATCACTCGGGTTTAATGAATTCATTTTGAGCTCCTGTTGACATATTATTGAAAGTCTCATTCCAATATTAACCCACTTAAAATGGCTTCTAACCAAGTTACGGCAAGGCAATTTAAAGCAGGTCTGTGTGATACTCTGGTTTTCATAAGACAATGTTGTCTAGACAATCATTTTTATCTCCTTGGTGACATTTGTTTAAGATTCCATTATACAGGTACATCGCAATAATTTAGAATATTGTCAGAAAGTTTTATCTCAGTAATTGAATTCAAAAAGTTACAATTATATTCCATAGATTTATTTCACACACAGAGTGAATTTTTCCAACGTGTATTTCTATGCATTACAAACAATTGGCTCAAAGTCAATGAAATTTGGAAGACTTGACAGTTTCTCCAGGGAAACTCATCGACAAGAAGTTAAGTCACAAAAGATCATTGCTTATTAAGATAGCTCGTCACAGATTATTTCCAGATTATTTCCAAACATGCTGTAGGAAAGTTGAGTGGAAGGACGAGTCGTAGGGGAAATTTGTTCACAAGCAACAGGGATAACTTCAGTCCAGGAGGCTTTTTGGAGATGTTCAGGACATGGAGTCAGCGTGCCAAGACAAGCAACTCAGAGATGTATCCAGGGCAGAGCTACAGCTGTTGCAATCGATGTGTTAAGCCACCAGAGTCAACATCAGAAATGTCTTGAGGACAAAAAGAACTGGATTGTTGCTCAGCAGTCAAAATCTTCTTTTTAGATTAAAGTCAGATTTGCTTTTTGTGGAATGAGGATCAGAGTTTGGAAGAAGAGTTGAGAGGTCATGTTACATGCTGCTTAAGTTCCAGTGTGCACAGAGGTGGTCCTATCCTGGGCAAACCACCTTTCCTTGTCCCAACCCTTCCATGGGATTTATGGTCAGCAATGGAGAATTATTGCCAAGGGAAGATGACAGACACCAAATCCAATAGTGTAGATGACCCAAAGGCTGCAATTAAAGTAATGTGAGCTTCCATTTGAGTCACAGACTGACTATTTCCATGCTACATGTAGGCCCAACCGTGGCATGAGTGCACAAAGCATACGGTACATATTGA